GCCCCCCCCCCCCACGCCCCAACCCGCGCAAATGACATGCTTCTGTCCTGCCTGCCCCCCTCCCCCCCCCCCTCTGCTCAGAACGATCGTCGCGAAGGAGCCACGGGTGATGTCGCTCGACATGACCTCCACCGTCCCGCGAAAGCTGGCGGACCTTGCGCGCGCGTTCACAGAGCACGCCGGGGGCGCCGCCACCGCCGCCGCAGGAGGAGGCAGCGGCAGCGTTGACGACGACGACGAAGCAACGGCGGCGGTGATGATGGCGCAGACGCTCCGGTACAACCCCAACGCGCTGCGGTTCGACCCAGCCACCCTGGCGCGAAAGCTCGGGGTCCTGCGCGGCGCGGGCCTCTCCGCCGAGACCGTCTGCCGGGTGGTCGGGGGCGCACCGAGGTGCCTCTCGGCCGCGGCGGGGACGCTGGAGGCGAGGGTTTCAGCGCTGAGGGAGGCGTTTCCGTCGGTGCCGCTGAGCCGCTTGCTGGGGGAGGCCCCGTGCCTGCTGCAGAAGACGATCGACCCTGTGGCGAAGGTGAGGTGATGGAAGCCGAGCGGGGGCATGATTTGCTTTTGATGATGTAAGGCCTGCATGTATGTATGCTCTGCGCGACGCGAGGTAGAAGGGTGAATTCTTTTAGTCTAGGTGGGTGTATAGGCAAGACTAGGAGTGGCTTGTTTGGTGGCGTTTGTTTTGTTGCTGCGTACGATTGATGCGGCGGTGATGCGGCGTTTTTAACGAAGATGATTGATCACAATGGTGAATGAACCGTCCCTCGCGCTCAGAGGCGTTTGCAGCATGACGCTTGTACATTCGGTCTTTCAATACATCTCTCCCTCCCTCCCTCCCTCCCCCCCTCCGCTCCCCCCCCCCTCCTGCCTGCCCGCAGATCGAAGTCCTACAAGAACTGTTCCCGTCGTTGGACCCGGTGCTCCTCGTGGAGGGGGCTCCGATGTTGCTGGCGCTGAGCGAGAACACCCTCAGGGTCAAGCGAGACGCCTGGAGGAGCATCCTGGAGAACAGGGTGGACGTCCCTTGGGAGCAGGTCCGTTGTGTCATTCTCTCTCTTTTGCGACGTGGTAATAGTGGACGGCGGCGGTTGGAACAACACAGAGAGACGTGTTCAATAGGACACCGTGCCATGTGGCCTTGAACGTCGGCACGTCCATGAAGATTGACAAGAAGCTTGTACTGTAGCGGCTTCCACTACGAACGGTTTTAGGGGGCGTTGCAGCGTTACCACTTGATGATAGGGCCCCTTGTTGTCTTTTGTATACATGCCATGACCTTTTCTTCAGGCCGCACGATGGTCATAAGAGTCTTGCTGCACCTCTCGCTCCATGCCATCAACCCCCCCCCTCACTGCCCCCCTCCGCCACTGCCTGATCCTCTCGACTGTCTCCTGCACCCACAGGTCGTCGCCGATTTCCCGCAGTTGCTCTGCCAGGGGTTGGGCAGGGCTGCACGCGTCCCGTTCCTCCTCCTCGATGACCCGCCTGCGGTTGCATCAACGACAATGGCCGTGTCTCGTGCACCCCCGGGCCGCGATAGCGATAGGGTAGTGGCGACGGCGGCGGCGATGGTGGCGGCCGAGGGGGTCGGGGATGAGGTCCTACCTGCCACCCATGCCCCCGGTGTTGCTTCGGACGGCGTTGCCGCTGGCGATGGCGTTGGCGCAGCCGCCGCCGCCGCCGCCGCCGGAGGCGGCAGCTGGAGTAGCGGCGTTGGGAAGGAGAGGAGTGTCGGTGGTGGCGTTGACGGGGGCAGCGGCGTGGCCCCGAGGACAATGTCGGCAGCGGCTGCCTTCCGCGAAATCTGCAGACGCGTGTCGGACTTCGAGAGCGATCACCCGAGCTACCCGTGTTTCCTGGACTCTTTGCTCGTGGCCGCTGCTGGACGCAGAGCTGCGGGTGACAGCGGTGGTGGTGGTGGTGGTGGTGGTGGCGCTAGTCGCGGTGTCGCCAGAGTTGAGGAGGAGGGAGAAGGTGTGGTGGACTGTTCCTCGCCCCCCGTGGTGATGTCGCTCGGTAGAGGCGGCGATGGTGTTGCCGCTGCCGTTCGAGGAGTCCAAGGAGCTGTGACCGGGATTCAGCGGCAGCAGCGATATCGGTGGCAGCAGCAGCAGCAGCAGCAGCAGCAGCAGCCCCGACATCATCGGCGACCAAGAGCGGCTAGCGCTGGCGGGGCTGCTGCTACTGCTCGCGAGGAACAAGCAGCAGACCCGGCTGTTTCACGTAGAGCAGGCGCCGGAGCTGCTGCTGCTGCTTTTGTTTCCGGCGGGGAGCAGCAGCAGTGGTCGTCGAGGGACCGTTCTTCACGGCCGCCACCACAGCCTGTACCCATCCCAGTACCCTCAATTACCCTTCCTCCGTTAGCACCATCCGCCCGCGAGGCCAGGGTCGCCGTCAAGAGCGAGAAGGCTCTCGGTGCCGCTATGGCGGAGGTCGCGAGAGGGCCGGGGGGGGGCGCGGCGGCCGCCGCCATGTTGGTTCCCCCGGAGGCTGAAATGCAGGACAATTGCGGTTGGTCGGGGTTACCATGACGATGCTTGGCTCCGAAACGCAAAGGTTATTTTCGTCAACCTGTGCGAGTTTTTGAATCGTATGGACGTGGGATGTGCATGGGTGGGGTTGGTGAGGTAGGCAGTGAGAAAATCCTAGGAGAGGAAGCCGTAACCGACAGATGAGACTAACTTTCATGTGTTTGCTTGCTTATCACCCCCTGTTTTTGAAAGTTTATTGGAGGCTAGCGTGCAGAGAATTAAATGAGGAAGGACGAAAGTGAGGGGTCGTGGGAGTGTTTCCCACAGCAGTGTTTGTTGGTTGAAGGTGGTGTATTGGGTGTAATATACAAGCAGCTGGGGGGTGAAGTGAGTGGGGTCATATTGCGCGAGTGGGTGTGTGGAATTTGGTCTCGTACCTGCCGAGGTTTCGTGGGGGCGGTTTTCCTTACGAAATGGTAGGCGAGGTGTTTGGCGAGAGCGGGGGCAAATGCGTTTGTCATGATCTGGGTACATGTACGTACAGACTTCTTTCTGAAGAGCCGTCAACGGTACTTGATTTTGATTCCCTTCTCGCACGCACTTTTCTGAGACCGAAAACGAAAAGTACACAAATTCCCGCGAACGGCACAAAACGAGCTCCCTGCAACAACAAAGAACAATCTTCATTGAAAATATATGGCGCTCCCCAAGAAACCAACACTGCTGTCGTACATAGGAATCCCTGAAGACGGTGGTGGTGACCTGGACTTCTTGCATTTTCATGTTTTGTCCATAAAAAACTGAAGTCATCGTGTACACCAGTGCTCATAGGCTAAGGTGGTGAACATACGACCCTATCCGCATCTATCTGTTTTCCCCATCACTGGCAGCCGAATCAAGGGAGGAGAGAGAGAGGGAAGAGAGTACGTCCGGACAAGAACGACACAATGATCATTTCTGTGACATGTCGTAAGCATTCATGAGCGCATCTAAAATTCCCCGCCACCAGCTGCGGAATCAAGGGAGGAGAGAAGGAAGAGTACGTCGAGACAACAACGAGACATGACTATTCTAACTCTCTGTGCGATGTCGTGCACATTCGTGAGTGAGTTGTACCAGCAGTGTTGGTGCCTGGAGATAAGAAGAGCATTCGGGTTGAGGGGATATTGTCTGCTTTCGTCGCCACCGTCAAGTGCAGGCTACTGTAGTAGAGGCTAGTGTACTGCTCTACAGGATCCACCGATGTGAGTTGGATCGATTCTTCGTGCACGGGATGTGCACACGAGGGGGAAGATCTTGTGGGATGACCCCCACCCTCCCCCGGTTTTCACGGAACCCCCAGGACAGGGAATTGCGCCGCATTTTCTGTGCCGGAGCACGGAGCACGGGAGCGTTCTACACCTCACCTCTGCTCTCTGCTCCGCTGCTGCGTGGTGGCGATGGCGTCGTCTAGCCGAACCTGCCGCCGCTTTCCAGCGGTGAAGACGCTTGGACAAGGAAGATGGCTTGCTTTGGGCAAAATGCAAGCGGATGACCGCCGTGTTGTCCCGCTGGCAGCACGTGCCTTCGGTGAGTTCTTGCTTCGACGCGGCGCATGGTTTTCAGATATCGTGTCACAGGCCGTACTCAAGGCTGCGGCTTGTACTCTAGTTGTCCAGCTGCCGCTACGTCAAATGCGGATCTCCTTGTGATGCCTGTGACCGTGTATCATTGAAATAACGTTGGCAGCTTCAGAATATCGAAACTGAAGCCAGCAAGCGAAATTCCCGCCGCAGCGCCTGCACTGGTTCTAATCCCGGCGCCCCGTCCGCCCTCTGCTTCCGCGCCACCGTGCACTCGTCCCTCACCGGACAAACAACCCACACGCGCAAAAGTGTCCTATGACCATGCATTGCAGCCAAGAGCAAAGGCACCACCATCAGCAGCAGTAGGCTGTGCTGCTGCCTGGAAACAAGCCCTCTCGACATCTGCCGTGGGCGATGGCGAGGACGTCGGCAGCCAGAAGGGCAACAACAACCGCAGGGAGGATGGTGGTGGTGGCAAGGCAGCAGACGACGGGGCAGTTGCAGCAGAGCGAAGAGACGGCAGCGCTTCGGGGGAAACGGCGGCGGTGCCGGAGGGGGTCCCGCTCGATGCGCGCGGGATGCCGCGGCCGAAGCAGCGGGTGGACGTGGAGCTTGGAACCTTTCACGAGTTCACCGCGGTCAACAAGACCGGCGGGTGAGGGGAGAGAAAGGAATGCCGCAACGCTGCTGTAAAGATTGAAAGGGGGGTCCGCGTGGGGCTGCTGCGAATTCGTCACACAGTGGTTCGCTGGGCGATTTGAGGCTTGTAGTTTGGTTTCGGAAACATCGACAACAACAGCAGCAGCAGCAGCAACAGCAGCAGGGTTGTATAGAGAACCGTCCGTTTTGGGGCCGGGCGATAACGCGAACGACGTGTCTGTCTGGTGTTGGTTGCGCAGTTTAGGGTAACTCTTGCAACGTCGTGTACAACGGCGTGTTTCTTGCCGTTCACAACCTGAGCATTTCGAGGTGTTTCAACCGGGGAATCGAGAGCCACAGCAGTGATGGTTTTGAAACCCCGACGATACTCTTGCGCCGCACGCTGCTCCCGCAGCAGCAGCAGCAGCACTAGCAGCAGCCACCGCCGCCACTTCTGCAGCTGCTGGCCGCTACTACGGTGATGACGACGAGGACCACCATGCCTTCATCTCCATGCCCTCCCTGCCTATCCGCGCCGCCCCTCTCTCGGCCACCCCCCACCCGCCCGCAAACAATCCATGCAGAAAGATCTTCGAAGCCAGCCGCGAGCTCATCCCCGAGAAAGACGCCGAGTTCTTCCCGGCGATGGAGGTGTCCAACCTCGCCAGCGACGGCAGCGCCGCGGCCGCGTCGGAGGTGGACTTCCTCTCGCGGGTGCTGGCCGGGCGCGTGACGATGGTCGGGCTTTTCCATCGGCAGTTCGGGTACAGCATGCTGGAGAGCTGGACCGGGCCGTTCGAGGAGACCTTCGCACGGGGGCAACGCGGTGAGAGAGCGGGGGGGGGGGGGGGGGGGGGGGGAACCTTTAAAAAAATTGCCCCCTTTTCCCTTAAAAGCCAAGGGGACCCCCGGGGGTCCCCCGG